ATTTATTATTTGTAAATTTCTTTTTCATCCATTGATGAGCATGTACCTGAATAAGTGAACGCAATAGTTCACAAAACGTACTCTAAATTCGTTGTCCCATTGTTTAAATGTTTTAATATACATATTCTGTCTTGATATGGACTTTGAACTGATTATCTTGAATCTTGAGATAACCTCAATGAAGTCGGGGTCTGGAGGAAGTTTCTCCCCTCCCATACCTCATTCGGGTGCCCCTGGTTGTGAAGTAACATACACGTATAATAAGTGGATTTCTTGTAGTGAGATGTTGGTACTGACACCTCATCCTTATCATTCCTACGAGGTGTGTTGAATTTATACATATCTGTACTCCTTGAAAACATGTTTCATGGAGTACATGTTTCATGGGAAAATAAAATAAGTGTTGACAAAAACTACAGATTCAGGCGAAGCAATGGTAAGTTTCCAAGCTCAATGAAGATAGGCTTGCGGGAATGACGTAGACGGCATTTGCTTATTATTCTTACAATTTTATCTGCAATTTAAAAGTCTGGGTATTGCAGAATGTGCTTTCCCAGAATAGTATGTCATCTCTAAGGAGGAATGTAGACCATTCGCAAAATACTCGCCACGAGGTTCTTGAAGGATGATAGAATTTGAAAGATGCATGCTCTGCATGCGTAAAATAATTAACGTAATTTAGTGTTTAATTCAGTTGTATTCTATTTGAGATATGACTGAATTAGAGACCCAGAAATGTTGTCACCTTAACATCAGCCATTTGCATATTGTACATTTTCAATTGCGCATGCAATTGAGTGTCTGAAATGTAAAACTGCGATGAATCATTTTTTCCTTCGTTTACTATTAATTTTGTACTATGAAACCAATTAGAAACATTTGGAATCGTATTATTCATTGATTCAAAGAATACTAGTGTCCAGCAAAAATAGTTTTTTTTGTTTTCTAACAAAAAAGGACATATTGTTTACGTATAAATGAAAGAAGTTCAAACTCTGTGAAATAACGTGCTCAATTCGCAAGGAATGGAAAAATAAGTAAATAAAGTTATTTCATCCCAGTACGATATTTTTACCCTTCGTGATCAATATTTAAGGTACGAAGATATCCAATCTAAAGCAATACCTCTAATTTCACATGAAGGTAATTTTGAAAGCGAAATTATATGATCAATGTCAAAAAAAGTTTTCGAAAGATCTAAAAATATTCCAATTTGTGCTTTATTTTGATCCATTGTTGAATAGTTTGGAAATTCATGTAAACCAGTCGAATATTTATTTTTTAGTTTACTGATTATTCTGGGTATTTCTCTGGAAGTTGTTTCGGCAAACAAACACCGTGTCGAAAATTTTTGGGAAACATATGCTGTAAAATTTTGTGTTATTCCTTCATGAGATCTACTGCAATTCTCGAAAAGTGTTGGTTGAAGAGACTTGCATTTTTTACCGGATTTTTTATCTCTGTCATTATCCCTTAAAACACTATTCACTGTAAAGTTTTCAGATGATGTGCTAGTATTCTTTTACAATATTCCACATTGATTTCGTTTTGTTATTAGCGTTCAACATATCATGATTATTTTTTAATATTTGATCCTTTACTTACAATATTACTTTCCTAAAAATATTTTTGTATTTTCGAATGCAGACATGGAAACCGGGTTATAGGTGATGTTTAGTAATAGAGTAACATAAAGAGTACGTTTGTTTTTGAACGATGTTCAAATTACTTGTGTTATCCAAATAGTATTTTTGCCATAAAATGTTTAATTTTGTCTTTTTTAATAGGAAAGCACGCATTAAAGGAAAATGAAACCTTTGAAAAAAATAAATGATACTTGTCGTTTATCTCAACAGTGTTACAAACTGCACCCTATGATTCTTTCAGCAAGTACTCGTTAAATATTTCTATTTTAGCTTTAGTATCTAATGTAAAAATTGCGTATATTATTTAATGTGCCAGAGTTCAAGATATTACCCACGCAACTTTTCTTGAACGATGGTTTTAAGAAATGCGGGTAGAGTGGGGGTAGTAGTTACAAAATCGGCCACTAGATTTTATGAAGCAATGCCAATCTCTGGAGAATCAGTCATGCCTTCGCAACGTTCTCGATAATTTGCGTTCTAACTTTCTCAGGAGTTCGAGGTATCTCCTGTGATGGATATTCACATGTTTCGGTCATTTCTTTACATTTTTTGGAGAAAATCACGGACAGCAATTATCGTCTTCAAAAAAATTTTCTATTTACCACCAGTGAAGATGTGTTTGGAATGTTGTCATCAATGCACCTTGCGAGCTCTTGCCTTCAACTGTTTATTGTGCCACAGAAGGGGAAGCAAGATCATCGTTCGAGAAACGTTGCGCGAGTAATACTAGAAATTTTAAGAATTTGTGCATCGTGGTCATTGTAACTTAGATAATTCGTTATTGTTTCATATCTAGTTGTTTTGATGTCCATCAAAATGTAACGGACTTTCAAAGAAGTTTCTGTATGATTAGGGCATCGATGATTGAACAATGATCTGAAATGTGTTTTAGAGCATGGGGAGTAGTAAAACAATGTGCAATGGTTGCTACAGTTAAGAATATTTTCGAAATTTTCTGAAAACTCTTGGCTACAATACTGAATTCGTTATAAAACTTTATGAACAACTATCATATCTCTTTTTCAATTAGTTCCCTTGACTAAAAATGGCCAATTTTAATTTCCTTAACTTGTTAATAATTTATTTTCAAACTCCGAAAATGACCGAGTAGAGGCCACTTAAAAATCGCTTTTTTTACGAGTAGTATGGTCAGATACTCGGGTCAGTATTGGCCAACCGATTTTCTACTCCCTGAACGTGTCTGAGACCAGAACAGTACCCATTCATGTAACACCAATGCAATGCCAATATTAATAAGATGTTTTCAGGTTATTCTCTAAGTATAAAATAAGGGTCAAATAAATATTCTTCGTTCTAAACCTCGCGTTCACATCCTCTAAGCTCCTCACGTTCTGCAAGTTTGAAATCAATGGGAAGCCTTCAGTTCTAATTTTTCAAATTTTGTTCTTGAAGTGGCTACTACTGACACAATAGTCGCAGGTGGCGTCGTTACCCTTCTCCCTACCACTTTGATAAAATAAAATTTTGCGTCATTTCTGATATTTTCAAAAGCAGAAACCAATCTTTTCATGGCATTTCTAGTTAGATGATATGGGATGGTTGTGAGGGCGGTAGCGCAATGGGGAACCCGTGTCAGGGGAAGGGTTTCCCCTCGTGGAGTCCTTCTTACGATACCGGGGAGTTGCATTTTCCGGACATGTGAGGTCTCTGGATTTTTTCTGATCAACTTTTGATGTTCAGTTTTTAAGAGTGTTTTGTGGTTCATTTATTGGTTAAAGACTTTTTCTTATTCTATCTTTCTTTTTTGTAACTTAAACCTCCAAATTTGTCTTGCTCGCCTATCATCCAGTTTAAGTTATTTTTAGCGTGAAAATTGAAAAAATTAAATGCAATAACTTACTCATTGTTCCAAAAACCACAAGATTTTTTAAAGAGGTAAAAACCACTAACCATTTAAGTTTTAAACTACCAAAACTGCTGTTGTTGCCATTGTGAGATTGTTCTGCAAGAGCGAATGATGGTTAACTCCATTTTATTGGAACAAATAAAACATTGAAAATGATGAATTTTGACATTGACTTATTACTCCATACACTCCCAGAGATGGTTTGTCTATCTACGCCATATTAGTAGCAATCTGCATCATCACTCGTGTCAACCATCCCCACAAGTGTGATTGGTTTGCACATCTTGACTTGATGACTTCCAACAATTCTTAAAGTACGACGGTCATACATTCACCAATTAACGAATTCCATGAAGTAATAAACGTAGTTATCTATAATATAATGAAACTAATTAAAACTATCGGAGTTGCCTAAAAAAATAAAAATTACCAACTGGTGTCAGACCCGGTCTCCAGTTTTGCTATATTTATTTTCTTCACATATCAACTCGTAATTTAATCTCAATGTAAAAAAATAGTGTAGGCATTCCGTTGAATTCTAATTTTCTGCTCGACAAATGTTAACAGTTTTAAGTGGAAATAAGTATGATAAGTATATCAGATTCTGGAGCGAGAGTAATTTTCGTCAATAAAATGTCTGAAATATGGGCAAAGTGTGAATTAAAATGCATTCACTAGTATTTCTCAGGAAGAAGATATGATGAAATAATATAAAGGAAAAATTTGCTTTGATATTTAATATTAGTATTTATGTATTATAATGTATGTGTCTTCTTATTAAAGATGTTATTAATATGACAGGTAACGCAAGTGCTTAAATGGAATCGTTTTCAGTACTTTGAAACAGTAATACTCAATCTCACTTTTCAACTACAGAAAATGAAGAAAAATGTTGATTTCACATTATTAAATTCTCGTAATCGTGATAACCAAAAATGAACCGTAAGAAGCTGAAAAACCAAACCTGTATAACTAACTAAAGAAACAACTTAAATTTAAAATTAAAATTTGATGTTAATATTGAATTAAAAGTAATAATCCGATCTATATGCATTTTAGTCACCTCTCTGTGAAACAAGTTCTTGTGAAACATTGATCCAAAATATTAACACTGTTTCTCCGTTCCCAAGTAACTAGAAACTTTGAAAGTCGTCAAGAATTTAAAGAATGTCATATGTTTCAACAGAGATGTTCTTTACCCTGAGATTTGTTACATACTCTGACATTTGACAGAAGTCACAAATTTTTAAAGAACTGAAAGATATTGTGTAAAAGTATATGCTCTCTCTTTGTCACTTCATGTTTTGCCAGTGATGAAATCTAAATGTTTGCTACAGCCAACAAAAGTTGATAAATATACTCAAGCTTGCTCAGTGAATTTTATCGTCACAAATATGCAGGTGCGTGTAAGCAAAAAACAAACAAACAAAAAACCGTTTTGTGCAATGTGCTTTGCATATATCGTCACTATGTACCGAGGAAAATGCTCACCAAAATGCGTCCTCTGTTGACATAGAAGTGTTGAAAGAAACATCTGAGAGAATCGTCATCGGACCTTCAAAAACATTCGGAGGAGTGGGTGACTGATTCTTAGAACTTCCTACGTCTTTTCTTTTTGACCAAATTCGCCAACAACATTGTTTATTTTCATTAACGTCCTTAAGTTTTTGCTGTTGCAAGTCCTCGTTTTCGAAATCGATATTATTATTGCAATCATCATCCACGTCCCTAACTCCTCCACCGCAGGAACAGAGCTTTACAAGCATTACCTTAATAACAAGCAATCCCAACTTCAACAACAAAGTTATAGAAATTAACGTGAAACTCCGTTGGGTTTACAACTGACGTGACCAACCGGCAGAATGGCGACAAATCATCGTTGATTATTTCCAAGCCAGGTTACTTGATCCAGAAGAAAAGCATTGCAAATCTGTAATTTTGACATTTAAAGAAAATAACTCTTTCAAATCATTTACGCAGACGAGTCATTTCATCGCTTGTTAAACACCAAGTGTTGCCTACTCTATAGCCGTCAGCCATTGGCATTCCATTCACTGAATTTTGGTGTTGTGACGCGAACGCTCGCTGCGCGCCAGGTGAAGCAGTCGGCCGTGGGTGTGGCCTGTCTAACACAGCACTAGAAGCACTGCGACTCTCCACTCGCAATGACTGCCGCTCGGATCTTGGGGCGGGAACTGACTCGGGCTCGCAGCGCGCAACAACCACAACTTCTAACACCTGTGTCTAAGGCACGCGGCATCGACTGCGCCCTGGCCGTCGCCGCCCCCGCCCCCGCCGCCGCCGCCGCGCTAGCCCGCGTGCTCGCGCCCCACTGCGCCCACACGCCCCTCCCTCCCACCCCCGCTGCCCGCCGGCCCCGCGCCCCGCCGACCTTTCACCCCCACTCGCCCTGCATTCGCCGGCCACTGTCCCTGTGGACCAGTTCGCCGCGGCCCCGCGTCGCGTCGGCGTTGGCGTCGCGTCGCACCGCCCCCGCCGCCGCCGGCAATCAATTGGTCAGCGTCTACATGACCGACACCCCGGCCGTGTGTGGGCGCGGGCGCGGGGGGTGGGGGGGCGTGCGACGAGGGGAGGCTGACGTTTATGCGCGCGCCCTCCGCCTACGACGCGGCTGCCCGCCGCCACCACCAGCCTCGGCCGACAGCTTCTGCTTCGCGCCTTTCGGCGATGCATAATGGAGGAGCTTACTTCAAGAGTGACGGATCTCCGTGTCCATTCGTTTTCTAGTTTTACGAATCAATACATTCTTAATTCGCTTCTCCATCATACTGCCATATATTGCGTCAAAAATTGTTTCTCCTATTGAACGATGTCCGAAAACCGTTGAACACTATGTTAAACTATACGGATGAATATGAATACTTTCCTTTACTGAGAAATTCTGTTTCATGGAGGTACGACTCTTGGTAAACGAACTCTTCAAACCCGAGAAGAGTTTCTTCTATTATTCAGAATAAAACGAACATTTTTGTATTTATTCTTCCGGTTTCCTTCTCTCCAACACCCCCTCCTCAACCATTTCAGAACAAGGAGAAGTTAGGAATCGTCCATAAATTACGTAACGCTAATGAGGAGGGAGGGAGAGCGTTACGTTGCGTTACATAGGGGCAGGGATGTATTCGATTAGTGTTACGTAACATTGGTTTATTTTACATTTTTTAACATTTGTTGAAATACTTCATTTTTTGAGCTTTATGCTACAACATTAAAATATTATCTAATTAATTTGTTTTTAAAATATAAATTATTTAATGTTATTAGAAGTTGTTACAACAAATGGATATATTTGTTCATCAATTTTGTAGTGAATCTGTAAGATTACGAAGGAAATATTCAAAACTGCTCTGTGGAATTTGTAGAATCCAATCACATTGGAGCAGTAGTCTCTAGCCCATGCGTCATCCACAACGGCGTGTGCACGGCTTGTGATCAGAAATGTTCTCGTCTGTGCGACCTTCCTTCACTCAAAACTTGTCCCCAATCTTATTGTTAGGTGCAGTCGGCATCGAACACTAACTCCAACTTTAATTATCATAAATTATCATAAATCACAACGCAAATAAAGTGAATACAACGTTTTTACTGAGCTATAATTTATTTTCACTCTCTTTCATTTACAAAGAGGGGGTGTTATTTAGGGGGGTTCTATCGCGCCTTACAGGGGGGAAAGGGGGTATTCAAAATATTCCAAATTTGCGATACGCAATTTATGGACGGCCCCTTACTGCTGTTGTGGATACATGCACCTACACAAATTTTGAAATAGTTGTAATCATCCATTCATTAATTAATTTTTATAATTATAGTAGCATATTTAGAACTGCGTGTAACGTACTATGAGGATAAGTAGTTCAATCTGAGCACGGTTTCTTGAGCTCGAAGGTCCCGACCTAACTTATATACATATTTAGTTAAAATCCACCTCATTCTAGTCCCGTCCACCGAGCCGTTCACATCGCAGAGCGCTCGTAAAAGTCGGAACGGTAGCATCGGAAGCGGGCCCGCCAGATACCGACAAACCATTTATATTTCAAGTGCTTCTTGTAATAAGTGCAATAAGTGAAATAGAGTGTTAATCCAGTGCATCGAATAACTTTCACCAATGGCCAATTCGATTTGAATCAATCAACAGGCAACGTAGTCAGCAATGCTCTTTACATGCTAAACATGTCCAGCGATATTGCACAAAGCAACTTCATCAATTGATCTTCCACACACAGTGAAAGTGCCACGAACGAGGATACAGCCCTGGAATCTTCTACATCAGAAACTTCCATGTTATCAAGGCCCATCGCAAGGTACAACGCTCGTAAGTTTAGGCAGCCGGCATGAGATAGAAGTCAGCGTCAAACAAAGAAAACGGTCAGTAGGCGAGGACGCTTCCAACAGCGATAACAAAAAACACAATGCAAGTGCAAGTGACAGTGATTATGTTACAGGTTCTACATCAGATTTAGCCAATGATACACCCACAGATGGTTACGATGTTCCAATAGGCTCCGTAGCCCAAAACTTCAACTACAGAAATGAGAATATAGACTTGCAATCTTCATACAATGTCCCAGTAGGTAACAGATTTACGGAATTAGCTTCCAAGGAAACCAATTCTCTTCCCCCACATAACCGCTTCGACTATCGAAAGTATGATCAATCTTTACAGTCTACTACAACCAATAAAATACCCCCAATTTGTATTGCAGAAATAACTAACATCAACTCGTTTACGTTACGAAATACGTCAATGAAATTAAAATTAACGTATCAAAAAACTTCGTAGCTGAACAAAATAACAACAAAGTGAAAATAAATCCCGGCTCAGCTGAAGATTTCCGTAAAATCATAAAATACTTAATCAAAACAAATAGAAGATTCCACTCATACAAAGACCCTGCAAACAAAAACTTTTCGGTAGTATTCAAAAATGTCCACCTCTTCATAACTGACAGTGAAATGATGCAAGATTTAAAACAAAGACACCCATCCATTGTTAAAATCACACGTCTTCAGAAGGACAGCCATCCCATTCCTGTAATAGCCGCCAAGTTCAACGGCAATGAACCATTGGAAACAATACTCAACATTAATCAAATCTGCAACCTCAAAGTCCCCACCGAAAAAAGAAAAAGACCAAAAGGTCCACTATAGTGCTATAGATGTTTGGACTTTGGACACTCTCTAAACAATTGCAATTACAAAATTAACTGTGCAATATGTTCTTGTAATCACTATACTGTAACTTGCCCTGAATGTAAAGCAAACCCCACCTGTATTCTCTGCAAAGGCAATCGCCGTGCGGATTTAAAAAATGAGAACTGTTTATACTATAAGAGAGGAAATTGTTGAAAAGAAAATCACCCCACCCAATAACACAAATCCATACCAAAGAACACCACCATCATCCCTTAGCAACCAACAAGAACAATTTCCATCACTACCTCCTACCCTGCCAATACGTAACTTCACTAGGAACAATCACCCTGTAAACCAATCAGGATCCGTTAACAACACGAGACCACTGAAAAACCATACTCAACAAAACCAACAAGATAATAATATTAATAATAATAATAATAATAATAATAATAATAATAATAATAATAATAATCATCATCCCCTTCTAAATAAAATAATTAATTCTGTATCGTTTTGTATTATTAACTTCATAAACACCCTCATACCATCAATAATCAATACAATTCAGAATACAGAAACAGCATTTTTTAATAACAATAATGTCAATACAAGCCCATAGAAATATATCATTAACAAATTGGAATGAAAATGGGATCACATCCAAAACAAAAGAACTTACTCAATACTTACACACATATAACATACCCATTACGTGCATAACAGAGACCTCACCTAAACAATAGTAATAAATTTTATATTCCAGAATTCAAAATGTATAGAAATGACAGGACCGAACAAAAAGGCGACGGTGTACTTATAGCAGTCAGGAATAATACAATCCATCGTGAAACGAATATACCAAACATCACAGGAATTGAAACAGTAGCAATAACCCTAACAATGAACAATGAATCATGGAGTATAATAACGTCCCATAAATCTCCATCAATAAAAAAACAACCCCAAAATATTCTTAATCTATTCACCCCAAACAAAAAAAAACATTAATACTAGGTTATCTAAACGCTAAAAGCACAAACTGGAGATGTCGCACTTGCAATCAAGCAGGGAAAATACTATCACAAATTATAAACAATACCACTATCAATATACTATCGCCTCCTGAATCTACATACTATTGAAGAGACGTAACTAAACAACCAGACATCCTTGACATAGGACTGACTGACGGCAATATCAATGTTTACTCAACTCCGTATCACGAACTCGACTCTGACCATCTTCCGATAAATATACTTACTCCCACCCCACCCCGCAATCCCTAATTCCCAAAATAAACACACTTAAATTAAACTGGATTAAATTCCAAAATATAACCAGCAATTTAATACCAAATATTAAAAATTTAAATAATTCAATAGAAATAGACAACGTCGCAATATTACTAAACACCATAATACATACAGCAATAACATAAACGCAGCCCACAAATACACAAACACATAACAAAATTAATCATTCCGTTCTTCCTGCAGAAATCAAAAACATAATATGCGTCAAAGACAGGACCGGAAGACTATGGAACCAAACCAAAAACCCACAAATAAAAGCAGAACTAAATATATTAACAAATATTGTTAAGAAATCAATAAAAAAACATATAAATCTCAAATTCCAGAACAAGATAAGTCTTAAACAGAACAAAACAACTCTATTTGGAAATTCACCATACAAATACAAAAAAAGGAAACAATAATTCCACCCATCAACTCATCGAAAGGCAAGTTATTCACCCCCACCGACAAGGCAGAGGAAATAGCCAATTACTTTGACTTTCACACTCAACCAATCTAAACCGCACCCGGATCACAATACAATAATACAGTCAATAAACCTCCCAAACTACGGCCCATTTCACAAAATTCGTTACACAAACACTAAAGAAATAAATCAAATCATTAACTCTCTCCCGATAAGAAAGCACCAGGTCATGATAATATCAATAATTCAATACTAAAACACTTACAAGCCCCCACAATTGCATACTTAACAAATGTATACAATTCATGCTCCAGAACAAATCATTTTCCATCCATTTGGAAGTATGCCATCATTCT